ACAAGCAAGAAAATAATGCTTTTAATGGACTCCCTGAGCAACAATAGAACACATGCCTCGCAATTTCCTCCTTGGGCAGGAGGTAGAGTAAGTGATCCTCGAATACATAAATATCAGATCTACAAAATGGGTCTTTTTTTCTTTTTTTATGTTGGAACATTTGCCGATTTTTAAAATGAGCAATACAAAATAATTTCTCTGGGTGGCACTATTTCCTCTAAATATATACTCTGCATATTCATGGCATATTTATCCCCACCTTGATTAAAAATGTTATACAAAACTCAAAAGTAAAAATATTAAGAACATACAAAGCACATTTCTTTATATGGGAAACTCTGGGGTTAATGATAAAGCTGGAGCTGTGTAATATTAGCAACTTTCAGTGTCATGACCTCAACGTAGGAAGCAATAGAATGGGGATGCTTGAGGATTTCCATTTTAGCATAGCTGAAGATTCTAACTCGTAAAATGTCCTTTTCCTAATTTAATCATCATAATAAAATATATATACACACACACACTCCTAACCTTCAGGCCTGCTATCTGCGGCGCCCCTGCACTCTCCGCGTTTTCATTCCTTACCCCACAGCTGGGTGCCTTTTTGGGCCCTCACACACTACAGGACACCCACTAGAAGATACAGTGATTCTATGTGGAATATTTGTTACTGGGGTCTGCGTTTTTGTGTTTAGAATCTGTTCAAATTATGCTTGGGAGGTGAGGACAATGCCCTGTGCTTTGAGTTGAGCCCTCTTGCCCATAGATCCTCCGGCATGTGGTGAATTTCACTGCCCTTTTGTTGGGCCGCATGTTAGAACGCCTCAAGATAAGAATTGTGGTAGGTTTTACCTTCTGTCTGGTTGTCAACTTTTTTTTTGACTGAACCAATGAGATTTGACAGTTCCAGAGCAGTAGGATTCTCTAATTTACCTTGATGAACAGGGAACATCATCGAATCTCAGACTTGGATGCCTTTTCACTTTAAAGAAACCTGCTACAGTGAAGAGGAATTATATTTATAATGTAGTATATACATTGTTCAGCCACAACATGAAAGCAATTTGGAAGAGTCAGACTTTACCAATTACAAACCTAAAACGAACCAGTTTGGAACAAATTACATGAACTATTTCAGAAACATTCGTTTTCCAAAGGACAGCAAATTGGGGACTTATCTACTAAGCAAATGAAACAGCAAAATTAAGAAAAGGACTTTTTCCTTACATTTTTCTTTCGCAGATCCCTAATTAGCAAGCTAGGTTTCTGTCTACCAAAACCCTTTTATTAATATTTAGCTGTGTTTAGCACATAGTTCTCTAATTTGGTACCCTTATGTGGAATTACCATTTTTAAGGGTACAACATTAAAGCACTATTTGCTAAACCGGTGCACTAATTTGTTATCCTTTGAATTGCAATAATGGTGTCTGAATTTCAATTCACTTCCGTAATTTTTCCCATCTTTTGTTTCATGACGAATCGATATCTGAATTTTGGACGAACCAAAGTTAGAAAATTAACAACATGAAACAAATGTTCGCCAGTGCACATCTCTAATCGTAAAACTACATTTAACTTAACCATCTTTCTTTATCTCCATGTGAAATATGTACCTTGTCGTATAAGTCTTCAATAACGAGCAAAGTAACACATTCTTTGAATTTACATTTTATTTTTTTTCTAGTCACCATTTAACAAATAGACTATGACAAACACAATTTCTCTCAATAAGAATACATTGGTAACAATATTATTGGTTAATATTTTGGATCTCTGATGCAAAAAATTAAATTAACTAAATTTTATGGTACAAAGAAAAAACTGCCAACATTTCATGTAAATACATTTTGCTTTTATGGTCCTGGAACGCTTTAGCTTAGGGCTATGTTTGCTAAATGCACTATATATAATCATTTTATTTATTTTTTATATTTTTCCTACTGCTATTTTAGACCTGCAGTTTTTCCAGTTTAATAGATCGGTATAAGCGATGTACAAGGTACATTTGTGTGAGAGACTTTATTGTAGAGAAAATCATCTAGATGCCAACCTTTAGACCATAATGACAGCTGTAGAAAAGATTCTTCTCACCACATGGGGTTAGAATTCTGCTGACAATGTGTTCAGAAACAAATACTACAAGAGAACTTCAATGTTCTGCTATTTCTTATTACATTTGTGTGAAATGTTTATACATCTCGCTAGGATGCCTTTTTCTAAAACGGTATTTGATTAGTTTGTATAAAACTATTTGGAGAATTTGATCTTAGACTAGTAAAAATAACAAAATTTGAATAGAACAACACCCACGGCTTGGGACAACAAACACATATATTTTTTTTGGAGTATGGGAAAATAAACCTGCTTTGTTTTACTGCCCAGAAATCCTGACGGTGTATGTAGATCCGAACCCCCTTCTGATAATATGGACACAAAGAATGAACACAAATATACAATGTAATATTATGTAAATATATACCGGGCAGTACAAACTGCTCTCTAGTGACCTGTTCATACCCTATCCATTACCTTCATGTTTGGAGTTATGGTGCAACTTCTGTTTCTGGGTGGGCTGATGGAGATGTGCATGTAACGTGTATGGTTGTCATATTAGATACACAGCAAAATCGTATTTGCGTTGTGAGCTCCATTGCGAGAAGATTGAAATCTGTCAACCTTTTTTCTTATATACCGCTAGCAAAATGCGAGTGTCGCAGTACCTGCAGGCCTTGTTTGCTGCATAGTCACTCTGCTGTGCATGTTGACACCATACATCATTCAAGGGAGAGGTGTTTAAAGAGTTTCAGCACTTACATAGGATGGCCTTTAGGAAAAGGCACATCGTTGGGTAAACTATTAGTGAGGGCAGATTGTAGAGTGGGTATTTTAAGGTAATCCTACCTTTTTGGTAAACTTCAGCTTGGCACTTTTCCTTGAATTTGCAGGCTGCAATAATGGCATAAACGTTCTGTATTTATTTATAAATCCCCAGAATGGCATAAAATTAATATTTTTTTTTTTTTTCATATATAGTAATAAATATAGAAACATAGAATGTGACGGCAGATAAGAACCATTCAGCCCATCTAGTCTGCCCAATTTTCTAAATACTTTCATTAGTCCCTACCCTTATCTTATAGTTAGGATAGCCTTTTTTTTTTTTTTTATTTTTTTTTATGTAGACATTCTTAAATGCCTTTGCAGGAAGGTTTATGTACAGGGAATTTTACAGAAGATTAAAGGAACCCTATAGTGTTAGGAATACAAAACTCTATTACTAACATAATTTAGTGTTCCTCTGCCCCTGCTATTCTCCACCTCCCCCACTGGCACATAAAGGGTTAAACACTTTATTATTTTTTTTTTTTTTTTTACTTACTGTTTAGGTTCCTCCTCCGCCAACGTCACGGTGATCGGATACCTAATGTGCATGCGCAGCAATTAACCCCTTAAGGACCAAACTGCTGGAATAAAAGGGAATCATGTCATGTGTCCTTAAGGGGTTAAACGCATTAAACTATCCCCATAGGAAAGCATTGAATCAAGGATGTCCAGTGTCTTTTTATAGAGTTATTATAAATTTTAGCATTTATATAGCACCAACGTATTCCACAGCGCGTTACAATACTATTAAAGGGGAATATTTAAGAATAAATCGGACTATTACAAAATGTTACATAAACAATAAGTAGAACTCTGCTCTGATGAACTTACAGTCTAGAGGAGGTGGGGTATAAAGACACAGTAGGAAGGGTAGCAACCAAACAAAGTGGCAAAGAGTGTGGAGTGTGGCTCTTTAGGAGAGAACTAGAGACAGATTTGGGAATTTGAAGTTACTCTGGGAGGCCATAAGCATTTCTGAGGAGATGGGTTTTGAGGGACTTCTTAAAGGATTGGCAACTATGGGAGAGTCTGATGAGGGTAGGCAGGCTGTCACAAAGGAAAGGAGCCACCTGTGAGAAGTCCTGCAAGTGCAAATTAGCAGTGAGGGTGCAAGCAGCGGACAGGAGAAGGTACCTATGAATTAGTGAAGAAATATAACAGGGGCTAGAGTTGATTATGGCTTTATAGGTAAGGGTTAGTATTTTGAATTGATACCTATAGGATACAGGAAGCCAGTGTAAGGATTAACACCGGTGCGAGGTGTGAGAGGAGCGACAGAAGAGAAAGATAAGCCTGTCGGCTGCACTCATTACAGACTGTAGCGAGGCAGTACCAGAGGAGTTACTAGAAACCATGGGGCCCTGGTGCGAAAATTGCCCTGGCCTCATCAAAGGGTCCCAGTCGCGGTGTTAGTGTCGAAGTGCTGACCAGGCCCCCTGGAAATATATTGCATCGGGTGACATGCTGTTCTACTGTGCCGGGCCAGGGCCGCGTTACTTAGCTGGGGGGCACCCCATGACTGCGACCGTGGTAGTTCCGCCACTGGGCAGAACGGCTTCTGGGAAGACAAATTAGGAGAGAATTACAGTAATCTAGAGAGAGCTTACCAGAGCATGAACAAGCTCCTTGGCAGCCTCTTACGTAAGATAGGGGCGGATGCAGGCAATGTTTTTAAACTAGAATAGACCGGTTTTAGCAACATACCTCAAAGGTGAGACCAGGATCAAAGATAACTCCAACACAGCGAGCTTGCAGGGATGGACTGATGCAGGGACCATCAACTTGCAGGGAGAGTGAAAGAGGAGGATCCGTATCATGATGAGGAAAATTGAGAAGCTCTGTGTTAGAGAGATTGAGTTTCAGAAAGCAGGAGGACATCCAGTCATCCAGAGGTTAGAGAAAGGCAAGCGGTGGCACGTTGTAGGACAGCGGGGGAGAAATGCATACCTCTGCTTATGGCTTTTTCTGCAGTGTTTGGTGACTGTGAGTCCTGGGAGTAGCTTTATGAATAGAGATGTCGCAAACTGTCCGACGAACTGTTCGCGAACTGTCCGCCGGCGAATAATAGCGTGTTCGCGTTGGGCGAACATATCCGATTTCCGGTCCGCCCCCTATACGTCATCATTGAGTAAACTTTGACCCGGAACCTCACAGTCAGCAGACACTTCCTGGGAGGGAGGGTCTGCTGCTGATTGGGTGGAACGTGTCTGCTGGCTGTGAGGTTCCGGGTCAAAGTTTACTCAATGATGACGCGAACACACTATTGTTCGCCGGCGGACAGTTCGCGAACAGTTCGGCGGACAGTTTGCGACATCTCTATTTATGAATGCTGCATGGGTGTTAAACTCAATTAACCTGCAGCAAGCGCCTCTAATTGCTGTCTAGGAGACAGTTTCTCTAAAACTGCAATATTTTACATTGCAGGGTTAAGGGCAAAGGGGCACATCACCCAGACCACTTTAATGAACTGAAATGGTTTGGGTGCCTAAAGTTGTGTCCTTTTAAGGATCTTATTGCTAATCATAAATCCACTATTAGGACAGCTGAAATGGATCTACCTGTACCGTAGCATTTTATTGAAACCCTACAATGTTACCAGTGAACCGGGCATTGGAGGCTTATTCTGGGCCTACAATGCGGTCAAAGTAAAATATTTTTTCTCTCTCACCCCACCCCTCCCCTCCCCCCCCCTCCCCATTCTCTGTAGTTGTATCTATTTTATTCCCATGTTCTGTCTTTGTACACTTCACACTCGCATCTTAGGTTTGCTAAAGGCTTTGAAGAGCTGAAATGTCACCCATTTACTAAGCACTGGCATAAAACAGAACTTTTAAGGATTGTGCTTAACAATGTTTTGCTTTTGTGTCTGGCTTTTGGAGAACCAGTGTCTGTGTCGTCTTGGCTTAATTGGGTCCTCCACTCCTTTTTAATTAATTTATTTTTTTCCCACCATGTATCATTCGGGCACCATAGACTGCTCCATCCTGTTCTTAGGCCCAGATTTAAGACATGACATCCATTGCACACATTTTGGCATTGCATGACTGACTCTGACCAATAACATCTTACTTGGGGCTACATATATCTCTGCCATGTTATGTTTTTTTGCATAACCAAGAAAACATTTGGGATTTCTATTTGTTTTTGATTTTTTTCAACTATTTGTAATTTATTTTTTTTGTTTTTGACTTTCAACGGTTTTGTGTTTCAACTACCCTAACCTTGTGCCCATTTGACTTTACCTTTACTCTTGGCTTGCAGAATGTTCCACCAATCTAAGTGCTGCGTGTCACCCTATGGGCTGGTACACAATGCAGTCTTTTTGATTCCTTTTCAGTCTTCACATAGGTTTGTGTGCTAGGGGGTTACACGAGTCTTGACAAACACATCAAAGGGATTATCACAGCAACGCCAGCAGATACACTGTGACTGAGATGTAGAAGTGCCTTTCTGTGCTGCTAATTGATTGACAAGTGAAGAGAGGGACTTCTTAAAAAAAATAAATAAAAAAAAAATGTATAAAACATTTTTTTTTTTTTTAAAACTCTTTATTTATGTGAGCTTGGTTTGGCAGGTTAACAGTATCATACGTAAACAATGGTATAATAAGTGTTGCAAGCAGGTTCAGGTTTGTGGTTTTGGATGCCTGTGTGTACTCGCCTGTGGAGCTCTTATGAGGACCAGGTTGGCTGGGATGACGTGTGTGCGGCGCTCCGGTGTGCGTTGTACCCTGTGTGGCATCTCATCTATCCCTGGGGTGGTGGGGTGGGTGGAGTGGCGTTGATCATAGTGGGTGCCAAAGTACTATCGTGCGTGGGGGACTGTCTGTCATTCTTGTGAGAGTGGGGGCCCTAAGACTGCAGTTGCATTAAGGTTAGAAGGAACAAACCAAAACAGAGCAAAGTAAAAATAAAAGGAGGGGAGCACAGAGACATATATGCAGTGTGATGTAGGGTGAGTGAGCTGCAATAGCCCAGCAAAGGGGAAAAAAAAAGTCAATATAGGAGTTAATAGTCCTTAAAGCTACCACTCCTCATCAAAAGAGGTCTAGATCTTCCCTTTGGCGGTTGTGTCCATGCCATGTATACTGTCCCTGGGCTCAGTCCCTGTGCAAGGTCAAGTGACCAGAGTCTGTGGGTCTCGTGTTGACTGTCCAGGAGTAGAGCTGTCCTCTGGTTCCCAGCTCTCCGGTTGGCTTACAGTCGTGGAGGTGGGCTGTGAGGGTTGTAGTCCCAGTGCCCTAAGAAAGATGGGGGCCCCTATTGGGGATGTGAGGTGATGTGCAGTTCCATTGTGGTGGATAAGCAGGGCGCCAGTGTTTCCCCACCTGTAGGCAATGCCTGCTTTGCGCAGTGCGGTTGTCACGGGTCGTCAAGTGTAGAATAACATCTCTGGGGATGTTGGATGGTAAGTGTACGGAGCTTGTCACTCTGTAGATCCCATCCATACATAGTTTCTTGGCGGTTGCCTGGGGTAGTATTGTTGTGAGCAGCCTCCACATATAGTGCGGTAGTTCTTCAGTTGTGACCGTGGTGGGGACTCCCCTGATTTTGATATGCTTCCGACGTTGTTTGTCCTACAGGGACATGATTTGACCCACTAGTGCGTTTTGCTCTGCTTCGGAATCGTTGTACTGAGTCCTCGAGGGTGGACACTGTGTCCTGGATGTTGATGTCTGCTTCCACCGTTCCAACCCTCTCTGTTACACTTTGTATGTCAGCCTTGACCATCGCAACATCTGCCGCAAGCAGTTTTTGTATGTTGATCAGGAGGGCTTTTAGGTCCCCTTTAGTAGTGGGGGCTGTGTCATCTTGGGATTCAGGTGTCGGCGGGTGTGCCATCAGGAGAGCTGCTGTCATGGCCGGCTCACCTCTGTCAGTTTCGGGTGCCGGGTCAGTGGGGAGTCGATGCGTGTTGTGTGCTGGCTCTGATTGTGTGGGCCTAAGCCACATCTCCCCTATATCTCTGCCTTGTGTGTTGGAGCCAGCTTTCTGTGAGAGGCGGCCCATGGCTGTGGTACCTGTATCCGGGTTAGATGTGTAGTGCTCTAGGAGGCATCCACCGAGGTAGGCCTCTAGGCCTTGGACTGGCGTTGCGTGGTAGGCCGCAGATTTGCGCCTCTGCCTGAGCTGCTTGGGTGTCTGGAAAAAAGGCATCAATTGATGCAATACTTGTCGCTGGTCAGTGCTGGGTGGTTGTTGAGGTTCGATGGGGCTTTGCTTGGGTGATATTTGACAAATTCTCTCCGGGTTCGGGAGAGCCAGTTTAGATGGCGTCTGAACAGGATGGCTGCCAGGCTCCACCCCTATAAAACATTTTTAAAGCAGTGAACGCAAAATACCCATGTAGGTATTCTATAATAAGAACATGTCATTGTATTGATAAACACCATCGTTTTCTTGTGTCTTTTGATAAAAGGTTATATGCACAATGGTAAGTATATGTTAAACAGAACCTTCTATTTTTTTTAATTTAGTTATTTTTAACTCTTAATATCTGTAAAAATTGGGTCAATATAGCCAAGCTGGGGAAATATATGGATGAAGCTTTTCCACTGAAATTAGTTTAACAAATCCGTGCATTATTTGACTAAATCAGAATCGTTTTCTGTAAAATTCAAGAGACATCAACCTGTGCTTGCAGTTAATAGTCTCTTCACCACAAATTTTTAGAGAGAAAGCTGGCTTGCAAAACTCAGGTTAGAATAGCAGAGTTAAAGGAAAACAAATCTCTAATTTAGTGAAGAGATTCGTACCACCTCTCTGTTCTCTATTATACAAACCACAAATATGGCTGTATATAAAGAAATCCCATATTCTAGGGAAAAAATGTATACGCTTCAACGTTGGCATTTATATATCTGACTTTGGTAAAATCATCCTAGCTAATGAGCGTTTCCACCGCACACAGAGAACAATGGCTCTGTTCTGCATCTAACGCACCTGAAGCAGTTACACTATCTCCCGGTGGGAATCAGCGGGAGATACTGATTGATCGGGTTACCGAGGGAGAGATAAAGCAGAATGGAATAAAGTGTGGAACTTTTCTGGAGCTTATAACTGAAGCAAGTCTGGGTGGTGTAATTAAAAATAACAAGCCTTCCTCTTCTGGGACTCTGTTTAATGCAGCCCAGTAAGAAAAATGAAATATTTATAAATATTATTTATACTTCTCTAAAATGTAGTTATTACAAGCTAGAAATTTTATTGGTGCATTAGCTGGGTGTAGAGTAGAAAAATACTCTTCAGCTGTGACTAGTTGTTTGTTAAGCAAAGGGTTTAACCCTCTTTAAAGTAACCTTTTCCTTTTCAATACATTTGCTGTAGTGGTCAATAATAATTGTTAAACCTTTAAGAATTACTTGACAACTTACCTGGTGTCTGAGTGTCAGTTACCTTCTGCTCTGGAGCCTAAAGCCCCCTTCAAGAAGTTGTGGTTAGCAAAGCAGTGCGGTGCCTACTCATTGGTGTCAGGCTTAGAGCTGCAGAGAAGGAGGTGAACTGCGAAGCCCAGGTAAGTTTTCAGACTGTTCTTAAACAATTTGACTACTTAAACTGGGAGTGAAAATCTTGCCACCATAATTACTACAGTGGGATTATTTTTTCTTCTGCAGTGACTTACCTGCTCTTTGAGTGGCATGGTACCCGTTGTTGGTTTCTCTTGCCCATATAAATTAGTTTTGTACACTGTTAAGGATTGTATCCGTTTTAGTGTCCTTTTAGTCTAAGGAATTTATATATCTTTATGGACTTCCAATCTTGCCCTCAAACAAAATGGTGATTTTTGTTCCATTGATGGGCATCGGAGCACACTAGTCAGAACTGACACCGCTCGATGGAACCAGAAATGTTGCATTATGCTTGGGCCATCGAAGACCCACAAGGGATGAGAGATGCCCCTCTATATGTGGATTATATGAGAGAAGCGAGACAGTCCATATATAAAATTGGCAAATTTGGCATTTGTTATTGGCACTGGAAGAAGACTGACAGTCGAAACTCGTTAGCTCTTAGTACATACAGCGAGACACCAGCTGTGAGCACTAAACTCTATGCTTTCTGCTATTTATTTCTTCATACATAATTGGCTTTTAGTCCACCCCTCCCCCCTACCATTTGTATTCCACTGCATTTATTTATTTATTTTATATTTGCATTTATGTTATCAAATGAAATGTATATCTGGATTTTCTATACCAATGGTGGGCAACCGTCTGCACTTCCGATGTGGGGAACTACATCTCCCTTGATGCT